CTGAGCTGGACCCTGAGCAGGCCCCAGGAGTCAGAATCTTGCTATATTTTGTTTTGCTTATCAGGATTGTTTTTACATGCAAAAGTGTTGCAGTTTATACATTATTGAGCAAGCTACAGATAGTCATTACTTTGCAAAAAAAAAAACAAACAAACTACTTCTCCTTACCTAACACAAAGCTTTCTAGCAATTGGAAAGATTTTTTTATGATCACATCCTAGCTATTCTTGTCCATAATATTATTTATTTATCCAAAGCAAGTTGCAGTGGCAATCTTCCCAACCAAAATGCTGGCACAGTAGGTAAATCTCTACAGTAGGTTATGATTAGCATGAGAATTGAAAAGGAAGCACATAGTTTGAATTCATATAAATTCTAGTTTACACACCCCAGTTAGTACAAGATGTCAGGAGTTGGGCCTGTTTGGGTGTTCTGCATAGGTGAGGGTTCACATACTGAGGGGAAATGTCTACAGCAAGGATCCTGCTGGGCACAGCCATGCGTACCTGCTTGTGGGAGTTCTCCCATCCTTAACCGATCCTACACTAGGAGTTCATTATTGGTCCAAGGTGCCTCTTAGGCATAGCACTAGGAGGTATGCTATCTGCAAATGTGGAGTGGACAAAGGGTAATTAGAAGCTCTAGTTAGTGAGGCCACTGTCTTTGAGATGGGTGTGAAGGCTTGCCTCTCTTTTTGATAAAATTTCAGACTCTAGGAAATATGTCAAACTCTAAGGAAAAAAATGAACCCTGATAAAATATAAAATCACATACTGGGGTTGAAACTGCATTTCCATTGCAAATGGAAGAAGTAGGTGGTATGACTTTAATGAAAGAAGGGATGAAGTGGAAGATGTGTAGAAAGAATACAGAAAGTCAGGAAAGGGAGTCCCTCTGCTCCTCTTTACCTACACAGTCACAGTCATGAATATGCCTCAAATTAGCCATTTACTTGGAGCCAGGGCCACACAGGGCAGTCCAGGATTTGGGACTTGCCATTGGTCAGGATGTACAGCAGCTCTGTCCTTGCTTGTGAGACACATGTGAACCACTGCTTTTTCTGAGGTCGAGTAGCTGTCACATGGCTGGGTTACAGCTTCAGATGAAGTACAGGCCAGAAGAAAGTAATGGGAGGTCACTCAGCCCCCAGAGCCTGCGGCATCATAAGTGATCCTATTGCAGGCTGCCCTGACCCTGAGGTTGCAGTTTGCATAATTGTCCTTACACAGAAAAGTCATCGTCACTGTGAATGCATTTGTCTCTTCCTCTCCGTCTTGCCCCTGTGTTCTGACCTGCAGGCTACTGCTTTTTTGTTCTTCCCTAGTATTCTCAGCAATGGGGAGGATGGAACAAATTAAATTTTGTTTTGCCAACATTCAGGGTCACTTGTCCCTTCTGTTCCAGATGACCCTGGCTCTGCCATTGGACAGGATCAGGGTAAAGGGGAGATCAGAACCCCTTTTCTCAGCAACCCAAGTAACTTTGTCCCATGTATGTGTTGCCCACTCAGCACCTCTCCAGGTGTCCCAGCTTGTCTACCTCCTGTTCAAAGTCCCCATTCATATCCTGTGCTACATCTCTTATCCCAAATCCTGGACCCCAATCCACTCTCACCTGGAACATAGGAATCATTTCATTCCCTAGAATCAGGGAAACATTGATCTCTGATAGAAGGGTGAGTAGACGGGGAAGGGAAATAGGTTTTTGACACTCAATTCAGAATCAAGAAGGCACTCTATAGAAAACATGCCACACCCCAGTCTCTGATAGAGATAGGTATCTTGACTAGTAAGGATTAAATAGGCTTTTGTTGGGTTCATAGGTCTGTGCCACTTCATTGGTCTGGGCTGTTGGGCCAGTTCCCTGACCTCCTCCAGCCTTGGATTCCTCAGTGCAGACACAAGGGAGTATGCCAGCTTTGTCACAGGACTGTTGTGAGGGCTGAGGTAACATCTGAGTTCCTCCTGAGCCCCCCTTGAATTTCATTGCACCAGCAACTATTACTGTACTGCTGCCATGGGGTAATGTCTGCTTCCAGGTGCCAAAAACTTAACAGGCAAGCTTTCTATCTCTGTGGCTGTCTGGCACCACTTGGATCATGGCCAAGAGTCTCTGAAGAGGACTTTGGCCTGCTTTTGGAAAAATTTTGTTCTGAGCAAAAGGAAATTCAAAGCCCTAACTCAGTCAAGGTTAGTAGTAGTTCTTAGAAAATTTCCTGTACTTGAATTCACACATCCATCCTGTGAATGAAGTACCTGTGATAATCTGAGTTGTGTCCCTAAAGTCACATGTTAAAGTCCTCACCCCTAGTATTTCAGATTGTGACTAGATTTGGAGACAGGAGCTTTGAAAAGGTAATTAAGATAAGACCATTAAGGTAGCCCTAATTCAGTGTGATGTTCTTAGAGACGAAGATACAGAACACAGGGACAAGACTGGCACCTACAAGCCAAGGAGAAAAACCTCAGAGGAACTGGCCCCCTTGGTGCCTTGATCTTGGACTTCCAGCCTCCAGAATTTTCAGGGCATAATGTCTGTTGTTTAAACCACCCAGTTTGGGGTACTGTGTTATGGCAGCCCAAGAAAACTATCACAGTGCCATTGTTGTCTGTGTTTCAGGGGTAAGAAAACTAAGATAAGGAGTGATTCCGAGTAATTTGACCGAGCACACACAGCTGATTGGTGGTCACCTCAACGTTCTCACAGAGCCATGCTCTCGGTTGTCCTATGTTCCCCAGTTGTCTCAAAGATGGTTAACATCACATCAGACCTGAGCAAGTTAATTTGCATCACGTGTTTGGTGTGAAGCACTCTAGTGTTGGTGGAGAAGTGTGAGCTCCGGCTGGGCAAGGAGCATGCTTGTCTGTTCATCTCATTCTCCAAAGTCTTGTGGTGCCTGGAATGTTGCAGGAACTCACCGAGTTCATTTTGCTTAGAAAAAAAGTAATGTAGCATAATTATAAGTCTGTTCCATAGTGTCTTTTACCGTGTTGTGGTGGCCCAGGTCTTGAGTCTATTCTGCAGATCCTTTCCTGTTTTCTTCTTGTCCTGGAGAACACTCTAAGGCCTGTGCCTGCAGAGATACTTCCTCAGGGGATTCACTAACAGAAGTTAGTCTCTGCCTGGTCACAGCTGCATCAGCATGCTTTTATTGCCTGCAAAACTAACTTCAGGTACCACCACTGCCTTCTGGACACAAGTTTAAGAATCCCTTATTCAGAATGCCCAGGGCCAAGAGTGTTATAGATGTCTGGTGGAATTTTTTTTCCTAGTTTTTGGAATCTTTTTTTGTTTACATTAGTTATCTTGGGGCTGGGACCCAAATTTGACCATGAAATTCATTTATGTTTCATATACTTCTTATGCACGTTGCCTGAAGGTAATTTTTTACATTTTTAGTGCATGTGTATTTTGACTACAAACTGCCATACAAAGTCAGGTGTATAATTTTCCACATGGGGTGTTAGGGGAGTGTTCAAAAATTTTGGGCTCAGGAACATTTTGGATTTAAGATTTTTAGACTGGGGATGTTTAACCTATAGTGACTGCCTGCTGGATTATGAAATTACCCCAGTGCTCTCTTGTATTGTTGAGCTGTCCTGTATTTGCAGTCATGTGAAGGGATGAGTGGTAAGGTTTATGATTTAAAGCTGTTTTCATATAAAGCAAGATAGCCCAAAGTAAAAATCTGAATTTTAACTTTATGTCATATTCTGGCTTCCTCTTGGGTTTCCCGTGCACTTGTAAATGTCGCAGCAGAAGCCATTAACTTAAATGAATTGTGTTCACTTTAAGACCCATTTGAGTGACCACTTTGTGCTCCCTCAAGTTCTCAGCTCTGCCAGGCCTATGTCCAGGGCAGTGGAGTCTCAGACCTGGGGCCTTGGGCTCCGGGATCAGAGGACGCACTGCACAGTTGAGGGCGATGGCAATGTAGTGTTTAATCCTTTGACCTCCTGCCCACTAGGAAAGGCACTAGAAAGCAAAAGTAATTCTTAGAATCAGCTCTCCTTACTGTGAGTTAAGAAAAAAATGAGAGAGAAGCAAGCTCCCCATGAATGGCCCTTGGTATCATTTTGGAAGGGAAAAAAAGGTTTACAGTGCTCCAGTTTATCACCGAAAAAAAAACCTCCAGGCTGGCTGAAGGGCAAGCAGAACTGGTGGGTGCAGCCAGCTCTGGAAAAGCTAAGTAGTGAGGCCAGCTTTCCTCCTGGGAATGTTCTGGAATTCTCTACATTTTTAACTGGGTAAAGCAGTTTTACTTTAGGGCTTTTGAAACTCTCTTCCTCATGTACATGTTTCACATTACAGTGTTCTCCGTGCCAGCTGAGGTTTTTGCTTTTACTCTTTGAAAGCCAGGATATACCTGCAGGGTAGTTGCAACCAGTTCAGTTGATTTTGTTGACCCACTTAGGGGATTTCAGTCACAATATTAAAAGTGCTGGACTTGCAGCATAGGAAGGTGGGAGGTCCCTGGGCTGTTTCTCAGGAGGACCTGCCTTAAGCCAGGCAGGTCCTGAGGATGAGAAAGGGCAGAGGTGTGAGTTCTGCTGGCTGAGACCTGACCCTTCTTAGAATTGGGACAAGTCTTTGAACTCACTGAGTCCACTTCCCTGCGCAGGGCACAACTGCCAATAACGTTTACTCTGTGCCTTTATACCTTATTTTTCTATTTGGGGGCGGGGGGTCAGGGGTTCCTAAAAACAGATCGTCCTTTCAGAAGCAAACTTAATTTTCCTCTATCCTCGTTGTCTTTTGTGTCACAGGTGCATTTTGAATGGGTAAAGAGAGAAGTTTAAGTTCAGTCTCCACTTTTAGTAACCTCATACCGCACCATCTCACCACTATAGCTGCCAATGTCTTCTTTTCCAGATGGTCACTGTCATTTATAACCAGTCTGTGTGTCACCTGGTAAAACATCCAGGTCCTGGTAGGGATGTAGTGGGCATAGTGCCCTACACGTGCCCAGTGCCCACTGAGTCCATGCTGTGTCTCCGCAGGCCTTGGCAAGACGCGCAGGAAGCCGAGTGCGCGGGATGCATCCCCAACGCCCAGCACGGACGCCGAGTACCCAGCCAATGGCAGTGGTGCCGACCGCATCTATGACCTCAACATCCCGGCCTTTGTCAAGTTCGCCTACGTGGCGGAGCGGGAGGATGAGCTGTCCCTGGTAAAGGGCTCACGCGTCACGGTCATGGAGAAGTGCAGCGACGGCTGGTGGCGCGGCAGCTTCAATGGGCAGATTGGCTGGTTTCCCTCCAATTACGTGCTGGAGGAGGCGGAGGAGGCGGCTGCTGAGGCCCCGAGCTTCCTGAGCCTGCGTAGGGGCGCCGCGCTGAGCAATGGCCAGGGCGCGCGCGTGCTGCATGTGGTGCAGACACTGTACCCCTTCAGCTCGGTCACCGAGGAGGAGCTCAACTTCGAGAAGGGGGAGACCATGGAGGTAATTGAGAAGCCTGAGAACGACCCCGAGTGGTGGAAATGCAAAAACGCCCGTGGCCAGGTGGGCCTGGTCCCCAAGAACTATGTGGTGGTCCTCAGTGATGGGCCAGCCCTGCACCCTGCACATGCCCCACAAATCAGCTACACCGGACCCTCATCCAGCGGGCGCTTCGCGGGCCGGGAGTGGTACTATGGCAATGTGACGCGCCACCAGGCCGAGTGCGCACTCAACGAGCGGGGTGTCGAGGGCGACTTCCTCATTAGGGACAGCGAGTCCTCGGTAAGTGCTCGCCGCTCCACGCTCGGCCGGTGCTGGGCTAGCTTTTAGGCCGTGCTGCAAGAAAGCCAAGTGTACAGTAGGCCCTCTTATTTGAGGGGTCCGCTGCCCACGGCCAGCCTGGTCAGAAAACCTTCATGAAAAGTTTCCGAAGCAAATATGATAAGTTCAATATTAATATACTATTCGATGTTACAGTACATGGTTGTAATTGTTCTATTAGTTGTTCATCTCTTTACATGCCTGATTTATAAATTAAACTTTATCATAGGTATACATACCTGTAGGGAAAAAAAACAAGGTATATCCAGGTTTCAGTACTGTCCCTGACTTCAGGGTGTCCATTGAGAGTCCTGGACTCCCCCAGGATGAAGATTACACAGTATAACCCTTTTCAGTTCATGTGAATATACTTGCAGTAGCAAAAGTATATTTGTGGGTTCATATTAAGCCATGTGAATACTTTATAGCTTACCTAACTTCCTGGCTGGAGTATCTGTTCTCTGCCACTACTTACTGTCCTGGAGAGGAAGGGTAAGGAAAGGGCTTGTGAGCTGCTGGAGGTTGATGTACCAAGGGTCCCCCCCCTTACTACTCTAGAGAGGCGGCATCATGTGCTCTGCTGGCTTCCCATTCTGTGCCTATGTGATTTACTGTGTTTGTTGCTGTCTGTGGCCAAGGCGCACAGCGCTTTCTCAACGAGACATGGCTGGTTTCTGATGCAGCCTTTTGTTGGTTGGTTTGCTTTTCTTTGTAAACCATATAATCCCAAGGTCATCTCTGCTGCAGGCTGCGCCACTGAGCTCATCTCTGAACAGCTTTTAGAGCACTTAGGAGCTGAATTGAAAAGAGCTGTGGTCCTGAGTGAGCTGAGCTGCGTGGTGTGAAGTGAATCTGGGATGAGGCCACTTCTGTGGAGGCAGTTAGATTCCTTCCAGCATGCAGAGAATTGGGGGTTTGTGTTTGGGGTTCGGCCTGTCTGGAAGAGACCAGCAGTTTCACTTCAAAGCAGCCACTGTGTTTGCCCTTTACAGAAATACTAACCAGTTTTGTAGATGTTTTTCCAAATACCCCTTCTACATAGTGAGACCCCAAATAAGACTTGGGAACCTAGAGTCCAGCATGCTCACATTTTTCTGGTTCTCAGATGCGTGGGTTTCACATTCTAAATGCAAGCCATAAGACTAGCATGCATGTGCTCTTCTTTGATTATTGCCCCATGAGTAAGTTAAGGCCACAGCAAGTGTACACTCCCCCCCCTCCCATGACTGATTTGAGTGGAATTCGTGGTTCCTCAGAGAGAGGGGTGGTCATGATCTGTTCTTTGAAGCAGAAGAAGCATTGTGTTGCTGGAAACTGAACCCCTTTATGGTGTCAACAGCTTTGCAGGTTGACTGCAGCACTCTGAAAGCAAAACTGCATCTGAAATCTGAACTCTGAGATTTGCTTATCAAGCCACCAGAGTTTATCACTGCTGGCAAGACATCACATAGAATTGTTCTCACGGGCCCAAGTTCTGTGCACGGGCTTTCTAGATTGAGTTGGAGGCCTGCAGGGAATTAAGGACAGCAGGGCTTTTAACTCTGTAGAGCAGAAATTTAGAGAAAGCACTGGAAAACCAATTATAATATAAAATGTTCATCCAGAGTGCTTAGTCAAAACATGTATGTAATCCTTATTTAAAATGTTTGAATTTCAAACTGCACAGTGATGCATTCGTCCTGTTCATAGTTCTTGTGCCTAGGACTTGGGAGAAGAAGGGAAAAGGGCAGATGAAGAGTGTTCAGGATCGCCAGCCCAAGGAGAGGCCTGTTGATTTTCCTGTGGGATGCGTGCAGGGAGTGGTCACTGAACTCTGGCTGGCTTCCATCGCAGACTGACTGCACCACACCATCTCATTTGCCTCGATTAGAGAATGAGCACATTTGTGAATAATGAAGCACTAATAGTTTCTGCCATTTTTATGAATGCCTTTCCAGATTCTTTTGTATCCTGCCTTAATTTCAGAGACATGGTAGGACACACTGACAAGGTCCAGGTCTTTGGTTCCAAGGGTACAGGGGCTCAGAGGGTTTCACTGGGACGTGCATCGGCTCTGCACACATGGTGACCCCACTTGGTGTGAGGCCCCTGTGACCTACTGCAATGAGGGACAGCTTGACCTCATGGTCTTGTCATGATACATGCTATTTTCAGTGGCTAGCTGCATGCCTGTGCTAGGGAGTGCTCCACTCGAAGGCATGTTGCCTGTTTTCTGCTGATGGCAGAACAGCCTGGGTTTGCCACATTTCTTGTTTAAAATCCAGTCCATTCTCAGCTGTGCTCCACAACTGCTGAGGACCTGTCTTGGTGAGCAAGTGGGAAGATCCCTTGCTTATTCTTTTCCCACCTTCTGCTTCCTTCCCCTCCCTTTCCCCTTCCCCTCCTCTGTCATTTTCCTGTTTACTTTGCTGCTTCTCAGGCTAGAGACTGGCTTTCACAGCCACTCCCAGGCTGCCAAGAGCCCTTAGGTTCATGATCTGACATAATTGCACATCCTGGTATGTGGGGATAGAAATGTTTCCAAGGGGCTCGGCCTCCTTCAGAAGTCAGAGGCAGATGGCTTCATTTCACTCCTGTTTTCTTTTTGCCATCTTTGGGCCTGGGACTTCCCTTGATGGAGGTTCCCGTGGGAAGCCTAACTTCTGAATAAACACGGCAATTTTGGGGGCGCATCTTCAAGATAGGTATCATTTTCAAACATATCCCAAGTGATTAATTATAAATGAGCTAGATCTTTGCTGTTGTTTTGCATTGAAAATGCTTGCTCTTTTTCCCCTTTGAAGAATTAAAAATATCCCTATCTCTGAGTGCTTTTTGTGGGGAGAGATGCTTATTTTAGGAAGAGCAGAGGAAAACTTTGCCACATCTGTGCCCTCTAGGATGGTCAGATCTGTTGGACATCTCTGGGGTCATCCAGGGATGGAAGGAACAAACAGAACTGTTCCACTCTCTTTCTAGACCTGAACCTCAATACTTGGGTCCTTTTTTTTGCCTCTTTATCCCTCATCTTCACGGTCATTTCTCCTTAGCAGCCAAAGGGGATACGTTGTTTCTCGTCCTCTGTATTTGTCTGACCTTCGCCTCCCTAATGTAGAAAATCCAGAAATCCTCCTGCCTCCCTATGCTCAGAAGGCCTTACATATTTACCAACACTGATTCACTGGATAGAGGAAGCCGTACTTACTATTAACTTGATTTTTGGCAGGCTGTGCAAGTTGTCAGCATTTTATTTTCTCAATAACTGTGTCGTTCATACCTGCAAAGGGTGTTCAGAAGGTGTCGGGTCAGAAGTAAGATGAGGTCTGACAAGGTACAGAGCCAGCCAGGATAACACACACAGGGTAGCAATGGCCAAAGGTTTAGGGAACTAAACCTTTAGGGAGCTTTAGCTCCCAGAAAGGTCACATTTACCTCCTATGCAGTATGTCTTGTGGGAATAATTAGATAATAATTTTTTTGTGTCAAGCAACACATTTATTTCAGGAAGAGAAAAACTGTCTTCCTAAGGAAGATTTAATGTATACATTGGCCACACAAAAAGTCAATGGGTGTTCATTCTTTTTAAAAATCTATTTATAGTACTTTGTAAAGAAATAAAAGAATTATGAGTCCCTTGCTATATTTTTAAATTATAATATTTCTTGTGGAAAACATTTCCAGCCATGGTTTCATCAGTCCACCGCTCTAGGTGGATTCTCACTGTAGTGAGTGTCTCAAGCCCCATAGGGACTTGTTAAAACTGAGCCTGAGAATTTACATTTGGAGCACAATCCTTTGTGACTGTGGTGCTACTGGTCTAGCCACTACATTTATTATGCCTTTTGTTTTGTTTTGCAGTGTTGGGGATTGAACCCAGGGCCTCATGCATGCTAGGCAAAGCACTGTGCCCCTGAGCAACATCCCCGGCCCTTACATGCATTCTTGATGATTTTATACATTTTTACAGCAGTTATTAAAACACCATTTCTGTGTTGTACTACATCTCCAAGAGCACTGAAAATCCTTAAAGGTGAAGATTGCAACTCTTTCCTAAAGTTTAATTTCACATGGAACTATTAGCATTCGTTAGATGGAATTCGTCTCTTACAATTTTGGTTTTTTGGGGTTTTTCTGTTAACTTTGCTCCTTTGAGTTTAAAAATAAAGTAGCTGCATTTACCAGGGATTTCTGCTGGAGAGTTGGGAAGAGTTCATTGTGGGAGTAGAGTGTGAGCTACCTCCAGGTCAGGTCAGAAAGCAGCAGCAATCAAGCATTTGAGTGATTTTCCTGACCAGCTCCCTGGTTTTGCGGCTCTGCACCTGTTCTCTGTTTCCTCCTGACTGAGTTAGTGTTAAGAGAAAGCAGGTTACCATGAGTAGGGCCTACATGCATCTGTCCTATTTCAAAGATAACAACTTATTTTAATTACTAGGTTTTGCTCAGCACCCAGTGGAAGTTTTTTCTCTCTTTAATCCTCTTTAATTCTTAAACCTGACTGCTCCATGAGCGTATTTAGTATGGACTCTTTTTCTAGAAGTTTGGTGCTCATGCCTGCCTCTCCTGGAGGCAGATCCTGCCTTGCGGCCCTGGCTAGCTAAGCTCTACAGTGCTTTTTTTGTGATGGTACCAGGGGTGCAAGGACTTCCTACTTGCTATGTAGTCTCTGTACCGTTTGAGCTACATCTCCAGCCCTTTTTTCTCTAGATACTTTTGAGATAGGATCTTGCTTTTTGCCCAGACTGGCCTGTACCACAATATATTTTACACTTCCTGCCATGACTGGGATGACAGGTGTGAGCCCACACCCAGGGTTTTTTTCCAGTGAAATAAGAGTCTCAACAACTTTTCTGCCTGAATTGACCCAGAACCACGATCCTCTCGATCTCAGCCTACCAAAGTAGCTAGGGTTACAGGCGTGAGTCACTGCACCTGGCTCAGTACTCACTTCTAAAACAGATGAACAGCATGCCACTTACTGGGAT